ACACACACACACACACACACACACACACACATACACACACACATATACACACACACACACAGACACACACACACAGACACACACAGACACACACACACACACACACACACACACACATACACACACACACACACACAAACGCTCAAACACAAACTGCTATAAATAGTTTTTGGTGATATTTTTAGATGACAGAACTGCAAATACAGTTTTTTTAAGAACGTTATTCTTTTGTAAATATTTAATTTGTATGAAGATTTTATTGTAATTCTGGTTTGCAAAATTGTATGAGACATTTGTGCACTTTGCTTGTTTGTTCTCATCTTTAATTATTTCAGCTTTATTAGTTTATTTTGTTTTTGTTTTTATTGAAAACATTATTCTCTTGTAAATGTTACATTTTAATGTTAAAGATTATTTAAGAATATTAACAATGACTTGCAAAATTTAATAAGACATCTGAACACTATTATTTGTTTGTTTGTTTTGGTTTGCTTTAGTATGTTTTCATTGAAGAATATTTTTTGATAAATACATTATTTAATCAAATTAAAAATGTTTTGCAAAATTTGATGAGATATTGGTACACTTTATTTGTTTATTTTATTAGCCTGTTTCTTTGTTTGTTACGATGTTGTATTTATTTCATTAATTGATTTTTGTTTGGTTTTACTTTGTTACAAATTCCTTTGTAAATATTTATGATTATTTTTTAATATTAACAATGGCTTGCAAAATTTGGGGAGACATTTGTGCATTATTCATTTATGTATTAGTTTGTTTGTTATCATTTTTATTATTGCTTATTTCTAAGTTTATTTGTTCATTTTTGTTTTGTTTTAATTTGTTTTCTTTGACGAACATTACTCTTTTTAATATTAATTTGGTAACACATTACTTAAAGCTTCTATGCATAATGCATTACAAATGTTTTCGTAATGTACAATGTAATGCATTATATCTTTTCATAAATAATTGTAACCAAAATTAAAATGCATTATAAATATTAGTAGGTTTGTTTCTCATGTGTTTTAATGCATTATACTTTTTTAAAGGTGTAACAACGAATATTAAAGTATTATAATGTATTATAACTGCAGTTACAATTATTCATGAGATCATACAATGCATTATAAGGTGCATTACAAGACATAATTAATGCATTAAAACATTATAATGCATTATATATAAAGGCTTTAGGTAAAGTGTTACCATTAATTTTGACTTGCAAATTTGATAAGGTATTCATTCATTCATTTTTATTTATTTACATTTTATTCATTCATTTATGTTTTTTCATTCTTTTGTGAAGTGATTTGTTAGCTTTAATTTCAAACACCTCAGTGTTGTCTCTGCACAGCCTCTTGCTTGCTTGCTCTGCTGGTCCCCACACTGTGGGCAAAACATGACCCACGCAAACACCAGCAATGGAAAGAAGGTCACACTGGGCTATATCAGTAAGAGTAGGCTGATGGGATCCTAGGGGTCCACTGCTCATCACCTCCCTCCAGTTAAAGTGTGTTGATGTGTGCTCTTCTAAAAGGGGGCTTGGGCCTTTCTATTGTACACTTTTCAAACCGCAAGATCTAATGCAGACTGACAAGCCAGTTAGCAGACGAGACCTGTGCTATGAGCCAGACGTAAATAAGGACCACGATCAGACTTGAACAAAGACGGAGGAGTATAAAACCTGCCCAAGCCCACATACACAAGCACAAGAGCACTCAGAGAAAGTGAATTCCTCATTGATTGTTTTGGTGAAGACCCACAGTCATAAAAGAGCTGTGATACAGTAAGTATATTTAGGCCAACTTTAAACACAGCCATGTCTATTTTAGTGGATGTTGCCCAAATACTGTATGAATCACCACTGTATGTGCTTTTTAAAAAAATTATGATAAATTAATTATTTTAACTAAAGAAGAGAATCCAAAGGAAATAAAATAAGATCATAAAAAAGTAAAAATGTATAAATAAATAATACATATTTTAGAGCTATTTAGGTAACACTTTACATTATAGTTACCATGTTATTTATGCTAAATTCAATACATCACAAGAGCAATAACAATTTGTAGTTATAAGCTGCTTCAGAAAATAAGCACATTGTTCATTAGTCTTACCCACTTACTTGTACTGATTAATGCTGTAATTACATTGGAGCATGACCACTTATGTAAAGTGTGGCATGCAGCTATTATTTGATTAAAACTATTGATTTCTACAGTGCACATTACAAGAAAGGGTTATATAGTCCAGTGGAGGAAGTACAATACAATACAACTTTATTAATCCCAGAGGTGCAATTTAGTTTCAGGCATAACACAAGCAGACACTGAGACATGCAAGTGAAGAGCTAAAAGCCATATGGTAAGAGTAAGATAAATAATTGATAATAAATAAAATAATGTCCTATATAATATACAGTGAGATATAGAATATTTAATACAATGTGAAATATGCAATAATGTAAAGAGGAATAAGAATCAGAAACAGAATAAGGTATCAAATATATATGTGCAGTGTTCAAAGGTTCTGGTCCTCAAATCCTGGCTGAGCAGTCAGCCTGTATTATTGGTGGGGTCAATGTTTTTTTAAGCAAGTCTTTCTGCAGGTTCACCAGTAGGTGGCGACTGTGAATGAATCATTTAAAGGGGTCATATGATGCGATTTCAATTTTTCCTTTCTCTTTGGAGTATTACAAGCTCTTGGTGCATAAAGAAGATCTGTAAAGTTGCAAAGACTAAAGTCTCAAATCCAAAGAGATATTCTTTATTAAAGTTGAGAGTCAACCACGCCTACCTAAAACGGCTCGTTCTAACACGCCCCCACATGTCTACGTCGCGATGTGGGAAGATTTGCATAACGCCGCTCAAATGTTCACGCAAAGAAAGAAGGCATAACTTTTATTCTCGCTGTAGTATTGCTGCTGCCGCCATGTCGTGAAGACGCTGTGTGCTTCGTTGTGAAAGCAAAACTACTTTGTTTGGCCTTCTAAAAGAGGGGGATATTCGTCATGCCTAGAGCTGATCCGTGCTGGTCGCTGAGGGAATACATCAACTTTGCGCTGTGAATCGCCAGTTCGGCTTTCACCGTGGACGAAGCGGAGTCCAGCCCGGGGTCGTCTCATGTGGTTGCCGCAAGCCCGCTGGCCGCTCCTTCGTCGAATCCGCCGGCCGCGCCGTTCTCAAGCCCCCCCATCCTCTGCTCACTCTAGCCCTCCAGCCGTTCCTCATTCTAGCCCCCGGCCTCTGCTCACTCAAGGCCGCCGTGTGTGACGCTGTGTTTCGTTGTGAAAGCGAAACTACTTTGTTTGGCCTTCCAAAAATGGACACGACTAGAAATCAGTGGTTAAGTTGTATTTACAACATTGTTCCAGAACAGTTCAACCCAAATATTCAGATGTGTGCAGCGCATTTTATGGAAGACCGTTTCCTGATCCTGGGAGAGTAGCCTACAATGCCGGCTGCTCTGACTCACAGTCTGTAAGTAAATTTTCATATTTAAAGAATTTGCCACTGACGATTCAAACGCGAGTTTTGAGCAGTGTAGCGTAGCGCTTGTTGTTTGTCATTTCTCCGATCACAAACGCAGACATGGTTTTATGTTTACGCGGCGCGATGCAACGCAACGCGTAAAAAGACAGTAGAAGTCATTATAATCAGTAATTATGTCCCCACTGGATGCAACAAATGCCTCGTTTATAATGGGTTTTATTGGTTTTGTCTCGTAGCTCCGGCCAGACACGGCATCACAGTATGGTAAGGGGCGTAACATTTCCGTCACACGCGGTATTCAGCCAATCACAACGCACTGGATAGCTGGCCAATCAGAGCACACCTCCCTTTTCAGACCAATCGAAGCATTTCAGAAAGGCGGGGCATAGAGGAGCAGCAATAATGTACAGTATGTGGAAAATAATGTGTTTTTTTAACCTTAAACTGCATAAACACATTTCATTACACCAAATACACAAAATAATGTTATTTTTAGAAACATCATATGACCCCTTTAATAATTTGTTCACCCCGATTTATTTAGCCTAGAAATACTTATTCATTCAAGATCAAAACAGTGAGGTTTGAGTGAGTCATTGGATCATTTATTCAACCGATTTGGTCAAAAATGCTGATTCATTTAGTATTCGAAGCAATACACGGAATCCTTCAACAAAACACATGTACTAAAACAAACTTAACAGGTAATATTTTCATCTAAAATGTAATTTTCTCAAAATGAACTTCTAGTTTATCGAACTGTTGTATAAAATCAGTACAATCATGCTGCCTCCTTGACTCCAGTAATTTCTTAGAAAAAGCCCAAGTCGTCAATGCTTATCATGACGTTATAAGTAGCCTATTAAACTTCATTTTTAATCTAAATTGTAAGTAATGAGACCGGGCCATGATGTTGATGTAAAGGCTATATGGTCACAATGGGAATCGTTTATGAATAAACGTGGTTTGGAACAAAATAGACTATTTTTTTAAAACATCATATGACCCCTTTAATAATTTGTTCACCCCGATTTATTTAGCCTAGAAATACTTATTCATTCAAGATCAAAACAGTGAGGTTTGAGTGAGTCATTGGATCATTTATTCAAACGATTTGTTCAAAAATGCTGATTCATTTAGTATTCGAAGCAATACACGGAATCCTTCAACAAAACACATGTACTAAAACAAACTTAACAGGTAATATTTTCATCTAAAATGTAATTTTCTCAAAATGAACTTCTAGTTTATCGAACTGTTGTATAAAATCAGTACAATCATGCTGCCTCCTTGACTCCAGTAATTTCTTAGAAAAAGCCCAAGTCGTCAATGCTTATCATGACGTTATAAGTAGCCTATTAAACTTCATTTTTAATCTAAATTGTAAGTAATGAGACCGGGCCATGATGTTGATGTAAAGGCTATATGGTCACAATGGGAATCGTTTATGAATAAACGTGGTTTGGAACAAAATAGACTATTTTTTTAGCCAACTGATATTGTAAATAGCCTAATGAATGCTATGATATTATAAACGTGTGACAACTTGACATTTATGAAATATTCCGTTCACAAAGTGTGCAGTTCAATCTTTAGGTTAAATTATTAGTCAACTTTTGTTTGCTTATGTATTGTTTGTATATAATAGGTAGGCTACTAGAAAAAAATATAACACTGCAATTTACGTTTGAAGATTTAAGGTTTGTTTTGAACTAGGTATTAGAAACCAACATTACAGATCCAGATAAAACACGTTTGTGTACTTAGACTTTCAACGCCAAACTATATTGTGACAACTAGCCCCGCACCACCATATTTGAACGCAATAAATGTAAATCTTAAATCTTTCAGAACTGGGCCGATTTTATTTTCCAATGGGCGGCCCAATCGCGTTAGTGATGAATAGCATCCTTTTTCCATTGGGTGGCGCTGATCGGGCTCGCGCAGATGGAGGGATGAGTCTCATCACATGGTTCATATGCCCGGAGAAAGTGAGCGAGCATCGCAGCCTCTGCGCTCTCCAAACTCAATCAGAGTAGGCGGCAGTGCGCGCGCTCCACAGCAGATGAACTGAGAGCACAAGACCAGCCATGATGCTCAGCCTGCAGCTGTGTGCGCTGGAGGAGAGCTGAGGAGCTGCGGTCATGCCGGAGAAGAGCGCACAGTAGAAGTCTTCTCACTGAGGATGGCAGGGATGCTGCGCGCCGCATCACTCGCTCTGGCTCTGTGAAACAGCGCACGGTAAGCGCGCTTCATCTTCCCTCACTGACCATGTCATGAATGTTGAACTTTGAGCTGTTCTGTCTGGCATTTGGAGGCGGTTTACGTGTTCGGCTCGGTGGGTTGTTAAACAGAACTTTGTGAGACTCTTATTAGCTTTGTCACTTTATATAACTATCGTTCTGTATAGCCTAAATATGCTGTTTGGTTTCAGACACCAGGCAATAGCAGCCTCAGTCGGTCTAAAACACGATTAGGGCTGTGCTGAGATCTTTTTCAGTAGACTGGAGATCATTGAATGGGTATTCTGAGCTCATATTGATGTTCTTATTGATTCTGTATTTTCTTGAGAGGGGTGGTGAAGAGGAAGATACAGTGCTGAGAGTAAATTAATAAGGTAAAGATGCTTTAAAGTGTGTCCTGAATGAGTGTTTTGAAGTGAAATTTTGCGTGTCCTCTGCTACCGATAAAAAAAACTACCAAAAAGTACCACGGTACAACCTATTTTTCAGGATACCGTGGTTCTATCAAGCCATTTCTGGTACAAGTACTATAGCAATACCATAATTTGTTGGATATACTGCATGGTGCTTCCATGTTTTTGGGATGGGACCATATTATTTGGCCATAACACCATGGTTTTATGTACATTTAACATGGTATTATGAATATGTGCCATTTACTATGATCTCTTACAAAACGTACTGTGGCAGTACCATGGTACAGTGATTGTGATACTATAGTACTTTGAAATATTTATACTTATTTCATTATAAATAATGGTATCTACAGAACATCCAAGAATACACAAAAACCATTGTGTTTTTTGCAAGTTATGTATTTTTGAACATATTGCGTGGTCATCTTCTATTATCTTGGTATATTAAGAGTACTAATATGTAATAATAGTATTAATATCTGATGGCATTACTGCACCAAAGTACTGTTTATGTACGGGATATTATTTATCGGGGTTAATATTATTCCAGTGTGTGTCATTTATGTTTTTTGCACCTGTGATGAAGCAGCACCTTTCGTAGTGTCTGCAGCTTGGGAGTGCAATTAATGGTGTGATCTCTAAGTGTTAAAGGAGTCCTATTATGCTCTTTTACAATGTCTTGAATTTGTTTTGGGGGTGTACTAGAACATGCTTTGTGGTTCGAAAAATGCATTATTTTTCACATAAATACCTTTCTCCCCATCCTGCCACAAATGGCTCGATTAGTTCCGGCTTTGATGAAGGTCTGCCTTCCGAAAAACAAAATGTGTTGTGATTGGTTAGCTGTCCCAGTGTGTTGTGATTGGCGAACAGCTTAGACGGTGTTTCAGTACTGCCACGCCCCCTTGCTCCGTCTTTCAACAAAAGCTTTTGGGAATCCGGCACTACTTACTTGTGATGTGGAAGCTGTCCTCAGTAAAATGCGCAGCACACAATAGCAAATTGGGGTTATAATGCTCAGGAACAGAGTTAAAAAATTAATTGCAACCACTGTTTCCTGACATCATCCGCTTTCGGAAGCCTAAACAAAGACGTTTGGGCACGGAGGTGAAAAAAAACAGCGTTTCAGGCGGTCGCGCACCGGACGAGAAGCGCAGCGTCGCGCCACGTCTTTAAAATTCAAATACATTATTTTCTATGAGTGTAGGCACACTGGCGGCGCCGTTCGACGTCTGTCCGCGGTGCCCAGCTACGTAGTGTTATACTTGTAAGAATTGTTCTAGACATGCCAAAAAATTTGACGCTACAGCACAGCAGCTCTTCTTCTTCATTTTCTCTGATGCACTAACTCTGCAGCAGCACTTCTTCTTCGTCGTCTCGTCTGATGCACCCACTCAGCCAAGCGCTCTAACCACAACCTCGCCCCCCCCCACCCCCCAACCATTCGAATTTCTGTAGGTGGGAATTATTTGTAATGATATTCTAATGAGCCGCTTTGTGATATCACAAAGCCCGGAAAACAAACGCTGTAGTCCAAACGAGCCGTTCGTTGTAGTTCTTGAAAAGGGATTTTTTAAAAAACAAAATATCTCCCTTTGGAGTGGACTTTGAGATTTGTAACTTTCTAGATCTTTTTTATGCCCAAACATACACACTACACACTGACTAAAATTTAAAATATGAAAAAGCATAATAGGACCCCTTTAAGTTATTCCTCCTGGCCCAGCGGGATAGACTTTATTCAAGCAAGAAAGTGACTTGCCGAGTGCTTATGCCCCCCAGTGCACGCTGACCGAGAAACTGCACGAGTCTGTCCGATACAGTGAATATGGATGAATGAAATCCTCTTACACTGCAACTCAAACTCACTGTGTGTGTATGAGAGAGATATGCTCTCTACTGAGGGCTTAGTGACTGATGAACTGTCGTTTGCTCCTTATTGTGTCAACTGTGTTGAGTCTAATGTCATCAGCAGAAAAAAAAATGTACATTTGATAATTAAGTTGCAGGATTATAGATTAAAACATGCTTGTCTAAGGCTCTAGGACAGAAATCACCCATTCACATCTAATTTTGGTAAGTTGAATCGAGTCACAGTGTGTTCAGATAATTTACTTTAAATTTATCATCATTCATCCACCCTTATATGCCACTCAAAACTCAAAAACTCACAACTATTTTCCTGTAGAACACATCCTGTAGAATAATCAGAATATCAAAGCTGCTGATCATCACTGATATTCAAGTTCAGCTGCACAATCTTTTTGATTTATTAATTAATGATTTGTTGTGAAATACAAACAACAACAGCAATAATAACTGTATATATATGTGTGTGTGTGTGTGTGTGTGTGTGTGTGTGTGTATATAGTAGTTTGTATATAGTAGTTTGTATTGTTGTCTTGTGATTAAGAAATAATAATAATTATTATTATTATGATTATTAATATTATTATTCACTAGAAATCATAATTTGTTTAATTAATCAAAATTATTATTATTATTATTATTATTATGTTAGGTCATTAGGTCATGTTAGGTACTCTCAAATCAAATACTAGATACTAGTATTAACAAACGAGTAAGTTTTTTAAAACAATTTTCTTTCTTTGATTATATTTTTGCCACACATAGGGCATGATGCAGACTAGGACTGCCTCCAAAAATAAAAAAATTTATATATATATGCACTGATAAACAAATGACTCTGATATTACTGGAACCGTCTTTCTCTCTTTTGCACATATATGCAATCAAGCCCACATGTAAACTGCAAAAATGGCATGATCTTTTAAGGGCCACCAGCAGCTTTCTTCTGTTTTGTTGCTTGACTCTTATATATTAAACATGCCACATCCTTACAGACAGGCTACAGTGGCTGCATTTTTAACCACATGACTAGAGTCTGTGTTGTGTGACGTGACAGACCGTCATGCTGTCACAGCAGGATGCAGAAACTGGCTCACTGTGGGTTCAGTTAAGAGTTTGAAAGGTGAACGAACGGCTCAGTTTGTACGCAATATATGCATTTTGTGTAGACACTCTCCCACTTGTGCAGTGCACAGACAGGGTTTAATATGCACGCCGTGCACTCCTGCCACCGCTGATGTCAAAGTAGATTCAGGATCAAGTAACACTCATATACACTTCTGTATCTTAATACAGACATGAGCTGAGAGAGAGAGAGAGAGAGGGGGAAAAATGAATAGTCCCTATGGATTAGAGTGGAATATGTGTGACGGAGGGTAGAGGGAGGGTTTAGGGCAGGGGGTTTCAACCTGTGGGGCGTGCCCCCCCAGGGGGGCGCCAGCACCTGTCAAGGGGGGCATGAGCATCAGTTAATTCAGAGACGTTCCATTGAGAATTTATGAATATGAGTTAACAAATCTTTAGCCATCCACTAGGGGACAATCTGACTCCCACTGCTAGTCGACAGTTAGAGCAGAGTTGGCTCGAGTATCAGTCACGCTCAGTGTTGCCAAGTCTGTGGTTTTC